CCACAAAAGGTGATCAGTTTTACATCGGCGTCAAGAATATATGGGAAAAAATATCTAAAAATACATCTCAAGACAACAAAGCCATGATTAGTCATATCTTTTATAGGTTTTCAGAATTTGTCGATGTGTAAAATCATGTCTTTGTACTCACAAACTGAATAAAAGCGCGAAGCACTTTTACGTTAAAGCTAGAGTTATGGCGTATCTAAGCTATAAAGAAAAATACGAAGTTGGGTATAGATATAAATGACATATATGTAATGGACATTAAAATCAAAATTTTCGGATATCTCGGGATAACCTTGCGTTTCTATAGTTAAAATGACTTTACAATTTGCTGTAATTGTGTTGAATATCAGTAAGATCCGCCTCGCGTATTCATACAGCATTAAAGTCATGGAGAACGGAAAGGTATAAATGTACATGGTATTTTATAACATAATTTTATTTTCCCTCCATATCTGCCAATCGCTTCCCTGACCTTTTTGCACTTAAATTGTAACTCTTTGGTTAATCACTTTAAGCTTTATCATATTTTATCAGATGTAATCATGGCAATCATGTAAATATAATTTTATTTTACGTAAAATAGTTTGAATAATATTTATCATTGAACAAATCATGCAAATTAATGCCCATAAATTATTGTGTGACCTTTTTGCAAAAAAAGCATCATATTTGGGGTATAAAAATCTAAATAGGCAATAAAATATTTTTTTTTGTATCAAGTTTTTTATGACTTAAGTGCTGATCGGTTGAAAGTATCGTGTTGTTTAAAATAATGAAAGAAAATGTTGGAGTGAGTGATGATGTAAATTTTGAGATATTAGTCAAAATGTGTGATTCCCTAACAAAAAATACTATAGTTAACTTTAGTTTACTATAGTTAAATATAGTGAAAACTTTGACACTATGAAAACTAAAGTTAACTATAGTGATAACTTTGAATTCTTTGATTTACTATAGTGATAACTTTGAATTCTTTGATTTACTACGGTGATCACTATGACACTATAGTAATAACTATGAAAACTTTTATTTACTATAGTGATCACTTTAAAAACTTTGATTTACTATGGTGAAAACTTTGGTTTACTATAGTGATCACTTTGAAAACTTTGATTTACTATAATGATAACTATGACACTATAGTGATCACTTTGAAAACTTTGACCTACTATAGTGATCACTATGACACTATAGTAATAACTATGAAAACTTTGATTTACTATAGTGATCACTATGAAAAATTTGATTTACTACGGTGAAAACTTTTATTTACTATAGTGATAACTTTAAAAACTTTGATTTACTATTATGATAACTATGAAACTATAGTGATCACTTTGAAAACTTTTATTTACTATAGTGATAACTTTGACACTTTGATTTACTATAGTTAACTATAATAAACTATAGTATTTTTTGTTACGAAATTTTCAGGCAAAAAACGGTGTAGATTTTATCTTGACTTTTTTAACATATCTTCATTTCTTGTCAAAGTCTGTTGAGTGAATGTTTAATTTGTTCTAAAAATATAAATTGAAACCTATATTTAATATTTCTAGCATATCATAACGGAAAAAATTCTCTTAGTAAAAATATGTGGGGCTAAAGTTCCAAGATATTAAATTTAACAAATGTGTAGATTTGAAGAATTTCCTTCTAAATATCCTTCCACTACAAGAAATAGTCCCTCATAAACCTTACTTTATAAATTTGTGAGCAGTTTTTAAATTGAATGTCGAATAATTTGTATTGTTTAATTTAAAAATGTTATAAAAATTGAATTGTAATAAATAGTTTTGAAGTTAAAGATTCTGACTGAACTTTTCCAAAAAGTTGACGAGTGTTAATGCGGAGTTAAGAGTTATTAAAATCTCTTCTTTTTTGTGGAGTCGATAAATAAATTGATATTGTTTTAAATTTTTGCTATATTTGAAACGCTATTGATTTAAATTGTGTAATTCACAGAAAAGTCCTATCTTTATATAAAGTAATGAAACAAATAGAAAGATCTGTTTAATTTTTGGTTATCTAACCTTTTTTCTGGTGAATAACAAACCATATTCACTATATCGAAAGAGTCCATAGTTGTTTTATTATATAGTCAGGATTTGAATGAATAAGACATCGAAGGCCGCATGACGACTCTATTTTCATTAACGAATTTCTGTCGTAGAAAAATAAAAATGTCCAGATTACAACTTATAACTTTCGTATTTTCCTTTCGCCGTGTGTAAGACATCGAAATGTTTGGAAAATAACCCTACAATAAATTTGTCTAACGATTTTTCTGCTCAGATATACAGCTGACTACGGCCGTTGCAACCATTTTTTCAACGTTGTTTGAGGTATTATGACGTCACTTTATCGTTGCACGTGCACTGACCCTCTGTTGAAATGTACACGCATTAAGCGTTGTAGTTCGTGTACCTGATGAATTCACAAAAATTAAATTCATATATTTACATTATTTTTCTGATGACCTGGCACATATTTTTGTCATTCAACGATCATTTTTGAAAAAAAAAAGTTTGCTCTTTTTTGACTTCAATTACGTCACAATGGAAATATTCTTACTCATGGTAGTTCATATCTACATAGTATTATGAACTGTTTGCGTTTGTATAGATTATATAGGGACTATTTATAGACTATATAGAAGATATTCAATGTTTTGCAGATGAATATGAATTTATTTTACGAGTGGGACAGGATTTTTTTTTTTATATATTTTCACGAGAGTGAAGCACGAGTTAAAACATCAAAAAATCCTGTCTCACGAGTGAAATAAATTCCATATTCATCTACAAAACATTGAATTTTCTGTTTATTACATTTTATTTTCTTTGATTTCCCCTTTGACTCTATATTTCCATAATACGGTGTAATAAGGCTGTGACGTCATAGTTGAGCGGTTGAGACGTCATAGCTAAGCGATTGTCAGATTGAAAAACGTTGTAAACATGGATTTCTAACAACATATTTGGAGAAACTTTAGCAGTTTTAGTCTCTGTCAGGGTGGTTCATTTAATCTCTCTATCTTATAACAGGCCAGGTACCTTTTTAAAAAAACACTCTTCGTGATGGGAAGGAAAATCGAGAGTTTTGCCGTACTTCTGATATTCTCACACTGTAAAAATACCATTTTGACATCCTTTCACACTGTCTCAGAATATCAGTTAATTACTTTGTTAAAAAACAATCTGATTGTACGCACAAGTACTCTGAGGTTGACATTAAAAAGATGCTCGAGTTTCTGATTGACAATATCTATGTGTTTTTTCGAGACCAGGTCTTCCAACAATCTATTCGAATTCCCATGGGTACCAATTGCGCCCCGTTATTAGCAGACCTATTTTTGTATTCATATGAAGCAGAATTTGTTCAAAATCTTTTACGTGAAAAGAAGAAAACACTTGCTGTGGCCTTCAACTCGACATTTAGATATAGCGACGACGTATTGTCAATTAACAATGGTTATTTCCATCTTATGTCGACACGATTTATCCCGTGAGCTTGAAGTAAAAGATACCACAGAGTCTGACACATCTGTTTCATATTTGGATATTTTATTAGAAAAAGACGCTAATGGTAATCTAACAACAAAGCTTTATGATAAACGTGATGACTTTAACTTTTCAATCGTCAACTTCCCTTACTTATGCAGCAATATACCCTTATCATCTGCATACGGGATTTATATTTCTCAGTTGATTCGATACGCAAGAGCATGCTCTACGTTGAACAATTTCTAAAACGAGGTAAGTTATTGACAAACAAGTTGATGAAATAAGAATATCAGCAGTCTCGTTTAAAGTCTTCGTTTCGTAAGTTCTATAATCGATACAATGACCTTGTCAGCAAAAACAATCTTTCATTAAGTCAAATGCTGACTTTTTTTCATACTAATTGTTAGGGCTTTATTTACACACTGAATTGTCGACGAATTTTCCCGTTATTTCCCGATCATGACAAGGGGCACACGGCGGGTGTGACCGGTCGGCAGGGGATGCTCACTCCTCCATGGCACCTAATCCCACTTCTGATGTCTTAGAGGTCCGTGTTTGCTCTGCTCCTATTTTGTAATGTTTAATGGACTTTTGAGCTCGAATACTGTTCGTTATCTCCATATATTTCATTTTATTCAATGTATTTATTACAGTATTTCACTATTGAAAATGTAATAAATAATAATATACAATTATAGACTTTTGCGGAGGTGTATATTCACCAAAAAATATCAATATTGACCGCTGAAAGAGTCCATAATTGTTTTTTATCATATAGTCAGGATTTGAATAAATAAGACATCGAAGGCTGCGTGACGATACAATTTTCATTAACTAACCTGTCGTAGAAAAATTTTAAAAACGTCCATATTACAACTTATAACTTCCGTGTTTTCCTTTCGACGTGTGGACCGTTCACGGTAGCTCAGTCGGTAGAGCGCTCGCACCGTAATCGGGAGGTCGTGAGTTCCAATCTCCGCCGCGACTGACCTAAGTCGATAAAAAATGGATAGGAACTGTTCCTTCGCCATGCGCTCGGCACTTTGAAGTGAAAGTTGCGGGTCCTTCGGATGAGACCTAAAAAACCGACGTCCCCTGTCACGGCAGGCGTTGGCATGATAAAGATCCCTCACTGCTCAATGGCCCTGAGTGCTGAGTCAAGGTCAAAATTTGATGACCTTCACCGGTATATGGTGACGTCTCTATAAGAGTGAAAAATTCTCGAATGGGACGTAAAACAACATACAATCAATTTCGCTGTGTGTAAGACATCGAAATGTTTGGAAAATAATCCTGCGATTGACCAGCCTAACATTATTCCTGTTAACATACACGGCTGGCTCTAGACGTTGCGACCATTGTTTTCAACGTTGTTTGAGGTACTGATTGTTGCAACGATTGTTTTCAACGTTGTTTGTGGTATTATGAGGTCACAAAGCTGCACGCACACTGACCCTCTGGTGAAAAGGATAAAAATAAACCTCATAATCTTTATTTGAATTTATTGAAATGCTTTCAATAATTTACAAAATGATTTTGTAATGTTTAAATATAAACGGTTAAAGCATTTGATTAACCAATAGGTCGAACACAGGATGCTGTTAAATGATGTACCTTTGTGTATCTATTTGCTTTCTAACAAATTACATGTAAATGAAATACGTATAAATATTTATATAGGGTACTGGAAGGATCTACCTATTTTCCATACCCTCTTCCTAAAGTTTTTAAATTGTCTTATCTGTTCGTCCATTCAATATCACATACCTTTCATTTCAGTAGTAAAAAATATTGTTAATCCCTAGAAAGCTGTTTTCGGGTATATTCCAGTAACTTGTGTGTTTCCATCATTGTGTGTGTATATATATAAATACAAAGAATGGCATAATTCTTTTTTTTTTTCATTCTACCAAAAAAATAATAATAATAAATAAATAAAAATGAAATTTAGGTAGATCGAAGGATTGGCATTTTAACAAGATAATACGTGATAATTGAAAGAGGGAGTATTAGTCTCTCAAGACATACGTGCAATACAGGCACACGTCAGGTATTATTACAAATGTAAAATGTAGGGAGTTTGCAAACGTTACAGTAGTACATTGTAAAAAGCAATGATTGAGTGTGTATTAATGGACCTCTCAACACCCACTACATGGACAGCAGTTTCCGTTTTCCTTACGCTGCATGGCAGTATTATTATGACACAACACTGCATCATTTGAAGAACATTGGATTAAATTCTTTGTCGATTTCTTAGACTAATAAGGCAAAGGTTGATAATGAGCAATGCCATCATGTTGATCCCAAAGTTCAGGCGTGGGGATGAATTTGTAGGGATAATGACCGGTTCTAAAATAGTAAAAGTTAAATAATTATTAGTGGTAAACTATGTTATGAAATTGAGTTAACATTTTTAACCACGACTTTTAGATATATATGTTTGAATAGCAGATTTTCGACATTCCTTTACATTTTTCAACATAAGATGAAGTTGGATATTTGAGAAAGATAAAGATCCGAAGACCCGACCTTTACATCGATCATCTTTTAAGAATTTCATAATGGAGGAAAATGAGGTTTTTGCTGCGCAGGCACTTTCGTATGGAGCAACACAAGCTTCTGCAGACTTAAGGTGCCTAGATTGAAAGTGAAAGAGGACAAAAAATATATTTCAAAGCCATTTTAAAGCGAAACTATTCTGCAATGAATTGTCACCTCTCTGTGTAAGGACACTAAAAAAAAAATTAATGCCCTGTCTATAAGACGGAACAGAAATTAGAACACTCACTGACATAGAGCTGTCTCATTCATCAAGGAACCGGTATCATTGAAATGTTCCATACGTTGGATATTGAATTTTAGAATACACTGTGTTGCTGTTACCAGTTCACACTGTTCTCCATTTGTTCCTGTCAAAAATCGTTATAATTTTCTTTAATTTATTTTAGGATGTTCACTATTTCGCTATTTTGAGTTATTAAATACAAGTTTTCAGTAGATACATGATATGTGAAGCCATACCAGAACAACCATATTTTTCGGGTTGGAGCGAGGAAACATAAGAACTGTACAAGTCTGAGTAGGAACTTGAGGAACAAACATCCCTGTAGACTGTGATACAGTCCAAGGCCTTCTTTAATTTAAAACTGTAAAACCACGAGATTGATCAATGTACACTCAAATTTAATGAGAATTAAGACAGATGCTGGATTGCTCACATTTTCTGAATACTAAAAACAATCATATCATTTTCCATCATGATACATGTAACTGCAGTGTACTTACTTGCAGAATAATGTTACATTTGAGACTATCGAAGAGGTATCCAAATTTATAACACAACTTCTTATAGCTTTAACGTCACACTGTAGGCCATCGCTACCTGTAATGAAATTGCTTTGTGTTATATGAACTTTTTTCCTTTTAAAATCAATCTACTTCTGTAAATCGGACTACCTTGACACTGAAATGTGGATGGTTGAAACGCCTGGACATTGAGTCGATATATACTGTCATTTTGACATACTGTGTCATACGGCTCAAGACACTGACCAAGTCTTCTGAGCTCTTCACTGTAGTGTGAGAAAAGCCGAATCATTAATATATTTCTGTGATCCATTATAATCGATAATTAATTAAACCGTATTAAATTATAAAAAAAAATCATTCAATAAATGTATGATAGGTGGCAGTTAATAGTGTTTAAAGCAAATTCAATCGTATGTATTTCTTTTCTCCCCTTATACAGAAAATAAACTGACTATTAATCCTAATATAGGAAGCTGACAATATCTGAATTTCATTGTATTCTTAAACAAAACAAAAATTCTTAAACAAGCGTTTAAAAGATGTCTTCCAATATCCATTTTTCTTTTCTTCTGCATACATGTTTTTTTCTTTTCCTGTTTTTTTTCCTTTCTTTTTTAAAATCCAATTTGCATTCCATAAGTTGAAGCTATTCTAATATTAATTGTTTAGAATTACTTTCTGATCTGATATTTGGATCTGCGATCTAACTATCACAAAAATTATTTGTTGAAGAATTTGAAAAATGTCAAAACTCAATTCATGAATAAAAATTAAAATTTATAAATGGTGTTCTTTGATGCTTCTGTTAATTGAGTATTGAAAGGAAAGTGAAGAATTTTCATCTGTGATGTTCTTTGATAGCATAAATAGTTAAATAAATACAAACTTGCAGAAAGCTGTTTGATTCTCAGAAAGCAACGACATGTTTAGGTTCGAATAGCAGTTGTGAACTTTTGTCAAATCACACGCCTCACCAGACTCTGAACCTGAAAACGGAAACCAAGCACATGGATAGGTACTGAAAATGATGTATTGGTTGTGCATTTCTTACAACCGATTCAAATCCTGCATTAATTTGGCTTCTTTTTCACGTTTTTCGTAAGCACTTCATAAATTTTTTTCGCAGGAATTTACAAACAAATTGTCATCAGAGCTGAAAGTTTTTTTAAAAATCCCATTTTGACTCGCATTTAATCATTGATATTCAATCAATTTTCAAATCACATAACTTCACAAAACAACGCCAGCAAATTATTTTATAGACAAGTCTGAACACATCTGTTACGATTATATCTGTAAAACAAGATGTGTTTGTGAAACACTGATGCCCCCGTATGGCAGCTTATGGCAAAGGTTAAAGTTTCTCAAATGCAAGTCAAAATCCAGGCCAAAAGATAAAAAATGTTAAATTTGAAAGCCCTAGCTGCAACTGTTCAAAAGTTATGGCCAAGGTTAAAGTTTTTTAAAAGTAAGTAAAACATCGAGGTCAAGGTCAAAGTTGTTGGTATCCAAAGGAAGGTCTTGTCACAAGGATTACATATGTAAAGTATGAAAGCCCTAGCACCAACCATTCAAAAGTTATGGCCAAGGTTAAAGTTTTTCGAAAGTATGTCAAACTCCTATGTGAAGGTCAAAGGGTCAAAGTGGTTGGTATCCACAGGAAGGTCTTGTCACAAGGATTACATATGTGAAGTATGAAAGCCCTAGCATCAACCATTCAAAAGTTATGGCCAAGGTTAAAGTTTTTCAAAAGTAGGTTAAACTCCTAGGTCAAGGTCAAAAGGTCAAAGTTGTTGGTATTCAAAGGAAGGTCTTGTCACAAGGAATACATATGTGAAGTATGAAAGCCCTAGCTCTAACCGTTCAAAAGTTATGGCCAAGGTAAAAGTTTTTCAAAAGTAGGTCAAACTCCTAGGTCAAGGTCAAAGGGTCAAAGAGGTTGATATCCAGATGAAGGTCTTGTCACAAGGAATACACGTGAAGTTTGAAACCCCAAGCACCAATTGTTCAAAAGTTATGGCCAAGGTTAAAGTTTTTCAAAAGTAGGTCAAACTCCAAGGTCAAGGTCAAAAGGTCAAAATTGTTGGTATCCGAAGGAAGGCCTTGTCACAAAGAATACACATGTGAAGTTTGAAACTCCAAGCACCAACTGTTCAGAAGTTATGGCCAAGGTTAAAGTCTCATAAAATTTTGCAAAAGTGGGTCAAACTCCAAGGTCAAGGTCAAAAGGTTAAATATGATGGTACCCAAAGAAAGGTCTTGTCACAAGGAATACACATGTGAAATATGAAAGTCATAGCTCCAACCAATCAAAAGTTATGGGCAAGGTTAAAGTTGACAACAGACAAACAGACAAACAGTCTTGTCACAAGGAATACACATGTGAAATATGAAAGTCATAGCTCCAACCAATCAAAAGTTATGGGCAAGGTTAAAGTTGACAACAGACAGACAGACAAACAGAAAAACAGATAAACAGACAAACAGACAGACAGGACAAAAACAATATACCCCCGGGATCTTTCGATCCGGGGGCATAAAAAATAGATCGTGATATCTGTTGTACATGTTTACTCCGTGTGGTTTTAATTATCAACATATATTTCCTTTATTAAACTGTTTTGAGAGGGGGGGGGGGTTGAAGAGGATTATCCGAAAGATTTTGATTTTACATTCAATTTATCTTTAATCAGCAACTATAAGGAATGAAACATATCTTTCTGTTCATTCATGTTTGAGTGCTTTGTATGTTTCTTGCTCAACTCAAGGTTAATAAAAATTCAAATATATAAATGAACGCTGATTTAATATGCAAAATCTTTTTTTTCTTTCAAAATTTGACTCCATGGGAAAAAAACTTTGCAAACATTGGGAAATAAAATTTATTTTTGAATGTGCTAAACAAATAAGAATTATAAACTACTGGTAATTTTGATACAATCACTTATGTATCTGTTAATTTTAAAAATTACATGTGTAATTGTTTATAGTAGTCTAATATAGCATATATAGATGCTATGCGACCTTTTCCACCATTCATGAATAATTGTTTGTATGTATGTCTGCAACATGATAAAAATTAGAAGTTATAACTGTGAAAGTTTCGTTATCTCATTAATTTCTTCTACATAGGCAGTTCTGGTAAACCACAGTGCAACCAGCTAATTTTGATAAAGTTTTGTGTTTTTTGATGGTGTTGAGGGGCCATAAACAAATATGAATTTATACACGGAGAGAGAGAGAATGACTAATTGAACATCCCCAATTTTAAAGGTCAAAGTCAGTCAGACTTATACAAGATAACAGTGGATCCAAGTTATGTGGATTGTTTTCATTGACGCGACAGCTAGCAGGGCCAAATTCAAATTAGCCAAGTCTCTATTTAATCACTTACATGTATATGTACGTATATGTAAATTAAATAATTATATATAGTAGCCTGGTATAGATGCAGGCGAATATTGTGCAGTCAAATAAAATATAGTATTAAAATATTAAATCCAAAAATATGAATAAGTCTTTCTCAGCTGCTAGGAATCTCATAAAGCAAAACATAATAATCCTCCATTCCAGGAAGTACCAGGTTTCGCTTTCGCCGTAGAAATATTCCTCATACATTCATTTATACACTAGTTCACAATCTACATGTAATAAATCTGTTGTTCATTTAAAGACTTCAGCAGTGAAGTACATGTACATATGTCTTACCTGAAATCACAGACAGGAAATTAAACAGCACAATAATCTTCAAAGTTATTTCTAAACCACGCATAGTCGACGGTTACTTCACAGTTATAACCTATTCTCCGTCCACTTGCAGTGTTATATTTAATAAAACACAGATAAAATTGTAGGACAAGGCACACAACACCAGGCCAGCCACACCTGAATAGGCAATGAACCAAACCACACTAATTTTATCAAAATAGGAATCAAGTTACATTGCTTTATGCCGTTGCATTTAAACAACGCAGAAACTGTCTATAAATAGAAACGGGTTTTTATGCTCAGGAACTACTTGTATCACAAAAAAAGCATTTTACTTAATACTAGAAAAGAAAGCATTAAAAGATGCATTTGTTAATCCATCAAGGAATTAAATTTTACTAGGAGGGCTACATCCAGCAACATTGTTTGCATGAATATTCAAAATTACTACATCACATCTGCAGTATTACGAGTTTTTGAAGAAAAATAACATTTTTCTGTACGAAATAGATTTTTGTCTCATTTGTCTTTAATTTACCATCTGGTAGATATATCTTTTTTGGATGTGGTGATGTTTTCGAGGTTTGTGAAAGAAAAAAAAAGCCAAATCGTTGCATTAAGTTTTACTTTGTTTATTGTCAAATTACCAGCATAAGGTTTACAATATGATTGAATTTAAATAAATTGGAACATGACATAAGTGTTAGACTTTTGAATTTATTTGTTATACAACCATATGGTGTTTTTTTTTTAATTAAATATAAACATATCACAAAACATAACCCTATGATTCACATACATTCTTTCCATTGAATGTTGAAAAACAGAAAGTAAAAATCATATAAAACAAGCAATATAAAAGCAATATTAAGTCTTGATTCAGTGAGATTATGAATTTGAAATAAAAATAAACTTTATCAGACGATCAATTTAACAAAATGACAAGAACATGTATCTACAAGAAAACCTATCCCATGTATACACCATTAATAAGTATGTAAAAAAAATTTACTTGATAAGCAAAAAAAAAAAAAAAAAAAAGGAAAAAAAAGGTCATCAGACGTTTTTATTGAGGGGGCACAAGCTAGAAGTAGCTAAATTTTCTATAGTCATCTATATATCGGCAAAATTATTGGGGGCACGCCCCCCCCCCCCCCCCCCCCCACGTTCCTACGGCCATGTAGTATTTGAATCAGTGCAAGAAATATTCTCTAGGACTGAATAAGTCCCTTCTTGCTTTACGCACAACAGCAGCGTATATTTATATATATCGGCAAACAAGACAACTGAGGTCAAAAGTCATGACTGTTGTACAAAAGACATATTTTAGAATGTCCGATCAAATATGATTGATTGTATGTTGTCTTACGTCCCATTCGAGCATTTTTCACTCATATAGAGACGTCACAGTATACCTGTGAAGAGCTTCAGACCTTTACTCGGCACTCAGGGCCATTGAGCAGTGAGGGATCTTTATCGTGCCAATGCCAGTCATGACCTCGGTTTTTAAGGTCTCATCCGAAGGACCCGCAACTTTCACTTCAACGTGCCGAGCGCTTGGCGAAGGAACAGTTGCTACATATTTTTTATCGACTTAGGTCAGTCGCGGCCGAGATTCGAACTTACGACCTTCCTCAAATATCTGATTTTGTATTAATTTGCAACATCAAAAAATATTTTTAATTATTGTTTTCTTGTGATTTCTAAACTTTTTTTCAAATGTTTTAAAAGATATAAACACTAAAAACTGTGATATTAGCAATTTAAGTGATATCCAATAGGATTATAAAGGAAACGCCATACTCAGGTATCTTACACAAATGCCTGGAAACTTACATCAGTGTTTTGAGAGGAAACGTTTTGTCTGAACTTAAATCAGGAAATAAATATATGTACAAAACCTTTTCCAGTTGATCAACTGAATGAGATACAAGTTGTCTTCAAAGTACTAAACATTGTAAAATACATTTTTATTTTTATCTACGTATGTATCTATAAAACACATAATTACGAATGCATCTTAATATAGATCATATATGCATAAGTAATTGAAGAGATGGCGGAAGGTTAAAAATTATGCATTAGGAAATGCCATACAAAATTCCAAAACAAAACTTTAGGATTTTCTTGGCGTGTTATCCCATCGGTATACTAAGCTTTCAGTTTAAACTACTTTAAGATTCTTTCAAAAATATAGTATATGTATATTCAAAAAATTGCAACCTACTAAATCACTGTTGTAATTATCGTAACATAATAACAACAAGAAGTTTGTGAGCCAATGCTCACTAATAATACCCCCGCTTTGATGTGAATACATAAGTTCAGTTATGGACAGACACAGTGATAATCAGAAAATTGACATTGGATTAGTAAAAAATGAATCCCAACATAAAATTTTCTGAACAAATATTGTGTTAAGATTTCAAGCACCTGTGATGAGTAGTTGCTGAGAAAACTGCGACCAAAATTTGTTATGTATGGTACAGACAGATGCAGGGATAAACAGAAAGTTGACATCGGATTTGTACCAAAATGAATCCCATTATATGGCATGCCTAAAGAAGATTGTGCTAAAATTTCAAGCATCTGCGATGGGTAGTTGCTGAGAAAACTACGACGAAAATTTGTTATGTATGATACAGAGGGACACACAAATAAACAGGAGGTTGACATCGGATTTGTACAAAAATGATGAATCCCACCATATGGCATGCCTAAACAAAGAGTGTGTTAAAATTTCAAGCATCTGCGATGAGTAGTTGCTGAGAAAACTACGACCACAATTTGTTATGTATGATACGGACAGACGCACGGATAACAGGACGTTTACATCAGATTCGTACAAAAATAAACCCCATCATATGGCATGCCTAAACAAAGAGTGTGTTAAAATTTCAAGCATCTGCAATGAGTAGTTGCTGAGAAAACCGCGACCAACGTTTGTTATGTATGGTACGGACAGACGCACGGATAAACAGGAAGTTGACATCAGATTAATACAAAAATAAATCCCACCATATGGCATGCCTAAACAAAGATTGTGCTAAAATTTCAAGCATCTGCGATGAGTAGTTGCTGAGAAAACTTCGACCAAAATTTGTTATGTATGGTACGGACAGACGCAGGGATAAACAGGAAGTTGACATCAAATTCGTACAAAAATGAATCCTACCATATGGCATGCCTAAACAAAGATTGTGCTAAAATTTCAAGCATCTGCAATGAGTAGTTGCTGAGAAAACTGCGACCAAAATTTGTTACGGACGGACAGACAGACAGATACACAAGGGTAAAACAGTATATATACCCCCCTCTCCTTCGGAGCGGGGGTATAATAATTTATATATACAACTCGTCAGTCAAAGATAAATGGTTTACAGTAATGTAATTTATTAAAGTTTAATTATTATCAATTGTGGAGGATTGAAAATAATTTACTACGTTATCAAATGATCACTGGAAATATTTTTGCGAATTTCCAAAATTTTTAATTTCCTGATTATGTTTTCCCAATGGATCCTTCTGTGAGACAATCATTACATGAGATCAAGACTGAGTACAATTTATAAAACCAGAAATTACTGATAATAATAAAGCTATAATCATATTATTAACCATGGCTCCAGCTGATGCGCTGGTTTCGTGGTTTACCGGATGTAGATACACCACTACCGAGGGCTTTTCGGTTGCTATGGATAAAACAAAATATGTTATATAAGCACAACTCACGGTATGCAATTAGAATTTGTTCAATGATACCGTGTCCATGTATTGCCTTTACTTATGTAACATTGAAAAAATATTACTATTAATCTGTTAATTGTGTGCTCATCCCCATTACTTACCTTGGCATTGGTTGAGGTCTAGATATGTCTTAAAGTTTATAGTTGCAAATGAAGGATTATTTTTACAAGGTAGTTCAAACGGAGCAATGCAACCCTTGGCTGTTCTGAGGTGCCTTAAAGAATAACGATTGAAAACGATTAAATTCAGTTTATTTTACAGGTTTTGCTGACTATTTTCACAGATTCTGTCACGGGCTTATGTGCCTAATCAGCTTCATAACAATACAATTAGATTGTTTACACAATTTCTTTCATAGACTGAAATTTGAACATTCAGCAAAAGTTTTGATTTCAAAGATATATTTATGGTCATATGAAACGCACCTTAAGACAACTGTACAACGTATCATACCCATTAATAATTTTTTAAAGATATTCTTATATAAAATCGTAGTACCATCAAATGTTTTTAGACAAAATTCAATTTACATTACCAAGGGTGTTGAATAGATATCAAATGACGAAAGTTCTGCTGTTATTGCAAGAAACATTATCATATATATACTTTTAGTTGGGTCTTTTCTTCAAAATTTGTCTTTTCTTCAAAATTCGTATAAGAAAAAAAGTAACTTGCTAAAATTATGATAGTATTTTATTTCGCCAAGACGTATCTGCAACATTATTTAAAGTTACTACTTGGAGATTTTTTAATAGTTATGAAACTTTATCTAAGTAAAACCCTCTTTTTTAACTGTGGTGGCTTTTAAATCTAGACCGTTCTTAACTGTGGGGAAAAGGTACCCCCTGGGCAATAGTCCAATTCGTTATAACATAATTTCCTTTTGCATTTTTCAGGGGAACATAGGTTTAAAGCCTTAAACCAAAGTAATACTGAATACATGTATTTCATCACTTACTGACAAAGGCTTTCTTCGTACATTGATGACCCTGTTGCTTCGAGATGGTACATGCGGTGAATGTTAAATCTTTTAATGCATCCCGCAACTGAAAACAATTCGCACTGTTCCCTAACAGAACCTGTTTAGATACAAAAGACTTTAATCAATAATGAACTTCTAGAACATTATTGCAATAAACTTATAAAATTATATTCCAATATTGATGTTAATCAAGTTGCCCTACCAGAACATCCATACAGCTCTGGCTGGAGTGTTGATACAATAGCATTGAATAATCTGACATGTGAACCGGAAGAACAAACATCTTTGTAGGCTTCCACGCAGGATAATGCATTCCTCAGCTTAATACTTTAAAAGAAAAATCTTCGTCATTAGGTTATTTAAATGTTATTCGTAAACATCAAAATTTTGATTATATATTTTTCTTTTTACGGATTTGAACATTCTTACTTGCAGAATGATGTTAACTTTGTAGCCAACGTGGACAAGTCTAATTTCAAAAAAACAGCTTTGTAGCGCTTGAAGATCACACTGACGACCAGAGGTCCCTATATGTAAATTACAAACACAACAAGAAAACATTGATGTAACCATCAATTGTCGCCCGGGAAATAAATAAAGTAAACAATGGAAATGAGTCTTGATCATCAAACCGCTTCGATATGTGTGAAAAAGGCATGCGTCTAAATGATGCAGACGATAGTCGAGAATATTTTGAAAACTTATAGTCGGATGAAAATCGAACAAACACGATACCCTTTTAAACTTTATCAATTCCTCAAGTAAATGTTGGCTGCATAAAATATAATTTGAAACCAGACACATGCATCACCTATTTTCAAAAATGTCTTTCACCTTAAGAATATAAAACACGAGCTGTGTAAAGTACGTTTTTATGCGATAAGTGAAATTCGATGTTCTAAAAAAAGGGACCTGACGTTTTTTCGATAGTAAATGATAAGCAACTTTATATATTAAATATGAAAAACATATATATTTTTACAGATTCACTTTATGGAAGTAAATATATTGTGTATCTCGTAATTTATAAAGGGAAAGCCTTTAATTCTGAATAACTTCTCCCACCTCAATCCCCATATACCAACACTTAAACTTATATGTATAGAGCTGCCCGGTCCTCCGGGCTGCAATAATCAATATTGTAGTTATGGAAAGTAAAGATGGTCTTTAGAATCCCGCAGCATAAAATCTGAAACATATATATTTATAAAGTTTTTGGGTTAATATACGTCATATTCAGAGAACATTACCTTCGCATCCAAACATTGATGGGCTAAAGGACTGAATATTAAGTTGGTATTGTGGCTCATTAAAGCATTTCGTGTTCTGTGCTTCTAAGCATTGCAGCAGGTTCCTTAACTGGTGACTGTTTCAAAAATATTTATATCATATGTAAGTGTTAAACCTATTCAAAATTATGTCAATAGATTATTTTGTTTCACTTCCATATGATTTATTTTCAGAAAGATGTATAATTTGAAAATACATGCCTGCAAAAATTAGTTTTATCCTTATACAGCACAGCCATGTCAAACTCTGATGCCGAGAAGCACTTGTTAACTTTATGAAAATCACAATTTTCTTCAGTAGCAGCTCCTTTAGTGAAAAAATGGTATTGAATATCTATTATTTTATAAGAGAGAAATTTTTGTTATCACATTAAAATGGATAAGCTATAATTTAATATATATTTTTTAAGAAAAAGAATAACCTATATTCTTAAACATATGCAAGAACTATCGTAACGATAATTTTAAGGGCAATTTGGCCAAAAGAAGATGGGCGTACTTGGCGTGCGATCTGCAGGAATCATGTGTACGAAACATTTATGGTTTAAATGTCTACGATTTGGTCGGATGACCAGAAGTGGACAGACTTTACAAGGAAAAAGGTTTAGATGTACATTGAAATAGCTTTAAAATTTGAAATATTTTAGTCCACTTTTCTTAATAGTTACGATAACACAGTAATACTTCATAAATAATAAATACCTAACAAGATAATAAGGTATGATAAATGAAATGAAGTTTCATTTGGTTTGAAAAATTGCTTTGATTCGCTACCCGTGCAACTGAACCAAAATTTATCTCTTTTGAAACTTATAAATCAGTAAATAAAGTTCAACTGATAAACGACTTGATTGTTTGTATAAAAATAGGAAAAAAAGAAATTGCTCCATGCGAGGATCGAACCAAAAACTTCTCGACTCAAAGTGCTCGGGACTGGTAACGCTTACAACTGAGGTATCTTCACTACACAATCAATCAGGAATTTAAAATGACAAAGAAACAACGCATTTACATATTGGTATTTTTTGTGAAAAAGCTCATTTTTATAGTCTCTGGGTCTTCTCTTCAATTTTAACAAATGTTTCTTAGTTTCTTTGAATACAAACGCACACAAATGTCTTTTAAAAATCGTGGAGAGATGACCCAGAAATAGCAAATTTGTAGAAAAACCGGTTTGAAAATGTAACATTTTGTACTAAATGACTAATCTAGCCAAGTTTTAAGTTATTTTTACGGAAATCAAAACACTACAGGGAAAATATTTTCCTTTCCTATTTCATAGGGACAAAATACATCAAAAGAATGTTAAAATTTAATTTTACAGTTCAATAAAGTTTTCACTTTGAAAGCGCATCCCTATTCCTACCGAATGTCAATCAAAAGCGCCTTCATTCATTTGACCCAGTCTAATTTTGACCTTCCAAAATGTGGAAGAGTTTCCCTACAGAAATCAAATACTAAGTGTGTGATCAAAGTCAGTTTCTTTATTGCATAAATTTGTTGATCAGCCAAGCAGTTCCAGTAGGTGTTATTAGATAATCCATATCATTATTATTCTTGTTTTATACTAACAAATCAAATACAATGTTGACATTCTTTCTCATGTGAATGTTTTCTTGAAAATATCCAATTAAGCGTAATGGACGCTGAGATTCCCATTTCTGAGGGCCCCAACACCCAGTCCCAAAGTATCGGGAAAAAAAAAACACTGTAACGAAAAAAAAAATTATCAAAAGTTTTACCTTTCATTGAGCAAAAAACGATCAAATCCAGAACCAGATATTTCATAACCGCTTTCATTGTGTAGTCCATTAAATCCTAACTCACGCTACACTGCTTTGAAGGATCAATGAAAGATCAAACAAACTGAAAGTAGGTTTTCGTTGGAAACAAAGTGAAACCAAAAGAAGTTAACAGACAGATTAACAATAATATATATTAAATGCTATTTATCTTTTTTATTTACTTAAATGCTGCCATGCTATTTTGCACGATAACAAAGTAGAGCTTTCGTTAGAACTTTGTCCTCTTTCAAAATGCTTTTTAAAGTCATATAGCGTATTTTTTTTATAAGTTCAGACTAACTAAAATTAAAAAAATCTTTCTCTTTGTTTTATTTCTTTATATAAAGCAGGCACGTAGTATCAGGGGGAGGGGGGGGGGGCTAGGGGGCCTGGCTCACCCACTTTTATTCTAGACATGTTTTTCTAGAGGAAATGTTCATTGAAAGTCCGGTTCCCCCCCCCCCCCCACTTTTGTTGCAGTATGGTCAAATAAGGGTAATAGAAGGGGAATGCAGTGTTTGAGTAAAAAAATTGGTACTAAAAATAGGATTTTCGAGTTTGCACAATTTCGAGTTTGCACAATTTTCCTTTTTTTTTTTTTTTTAATTTAATTTTATTTATATATTTTTTTTTTTCTTTGCTTGTCAAGTTTTTTCAGATAAGTTGAAAATGTTTTCCTCGGGTTGGCCCCCCACCCCCCACCCCACTTTCAAAACCGATGCTACGTCACTGTAAAGATAGGACTTTCCTGTAAATTACACAATTTAAATCAATCACGTTTCAAAGATATTAGAAATTTAAAACAATAACTGATTTATTTACCGACTCCGCATATAAATAACAGGCACAGTTTAAAGTCAATTTAACTTTGGAAACATGAGGTAATTCAAGTTCAAAATTGGTGACAATTTAATTTGAACATGAATAACATCTCTCATTTTTATCTACGCTCAATCTAGTATTTTTATTTATTTTTTTTTTTTAGCACAGATACGCTATATATAGCTTTAAGGTGAATCACTATACTTATCAAGTGCATAGTGATTTTTGTTGCATCTATTTGTCTGTAATAATAGACCTAATATCCAATAAAATAGAGCTCCATCGTATTAAACTTTATTTTATATAAAAAAAATTAAATAAAAGAAATTATTAATTCATGTTGTAAAACCCCAAATTTTTACATTTTAAAAGATTCTTATGAAGGTAAATCATAAAAACTTGAAATAAAAACCAACAGTCATAAATGAAATATACATAATTTTTATTTGAATGCACAATGGAAACATTCAAAAAGTATAAAAGAATTTCGTATAACGAAATTCCTACCGCGTTTCAAACATTTACTTTTTCCATGCAAAACAGCTGTTAATCAATGTTGATCAAACGTTTAACTTGACACAATCCCACTTATCGTCTAAGTGTTTTGGTTATTTCATGAAGAGTTCCAATTTCACCGAGTATATCCACACATGTCGGGTGTATACACCATAAGCGACGGGAAGGTGGCGGAATTTCCTTTTCTGTCTAATTTTTCAATATATATGGATATATTTCGCTTACGGAAGAAGCATTTATTTAGGACTTTATGGAAACAGTTATTTGACACTTCTGGTCAAATATCAGGACAATGCCTGGTTCATTGTCACTTTTCTATTGCTTATTTTATCTTTATTTAAGTTTATGTACATGTATATACAGGATGGTGATAAAATGAGTAAATTTTCCGCCATTTTGAAATTTGATTGCCCAAGTTGCGTTTATACAAATAAAGTATTCATTACATGCAGAATGTCAAAAGTTGTCATGCATAAGAATAATTTTTGGTACGACTTTGTCAGATCTCAATTGCTAAGAGGTACAAGCGCATGTTTTTACTATATAATAGACCGTTACAAGTATAGCTTTTTCAAAAAGCTTTGCCTTCTTTAGCAACAACCTTAAACAGTAAACTGACATACACCTATCAGGCCATATTATTCTTGAGGACTGTAGTTCTTGGTTCTATACATCTTTGACATAAGTCCTACAATATAAACTAAGGAATAAAGAATAAACACAGATTTCAATGTTTGAAAAAAAAATCTGTTAACCATGAAAATACAGAAGAAAAAAAACTCAATAATAGTTGCTATAAAAGGTTAGAAGTTCAGCTTCATTTATCGCAGTTTTTATTTTCGTTCGTTTTGTCAATTTTTTTAAAGATTGAAAAATCATTTAAAATTGTTTAGTCGAACGAAAATTAGATCACCAGAA